CGAAGAAGGAAGGCTTCTCTCAGCAAGAAGCCCTGGACAGGAGGACCCTTCCCAGTCCAGGGCGCCAGCATCTGGATCAAGGCTGGTCGCTCCTGGTCCTGGTGAGGAGAAGCCCTGCTTCCTGGGCCACACTCTTGGGAGGCCTTGCTGGAATATAGCTGGGTGCAGAGAGCTGAAAACAGACCCCAGGGGGCCTGCAGAGGTGAGCAGGTCAGGGGAAGGAAACTCCTCACCGGTGATAGGCACAGAGACAGCAGAAGGTGGGGCCTGTGATCCTCCCAGAAGACCAGGGCTGCCACCTTTGGCAAAGGGGCACTGTCACAGATAGTCTAGGCTCCCATGGGTGAAGGTCACCAAGAAGGGTGACAGGGTGTTCACACTGACCTTACATAGGTGGACTGGTCTGGGAAGGTGTCACACAATGGGTTCCCTTGCAGCCACAGCTCTTCAAGCTTCAGCCCTTGCATCTTCCTCAACTCCCACACAGACGTCAGCTGAGAAATACGGGGCGGAAGTGGGAAAAGCCCCCCCCACTCTCAACCCAACTTTGACCTGGCTCCCTCTTCTCACCTCATTTTTGGAGAGGTTCAGGATCTTGACCGTGGGGGCCATCTGTATAATGTCAGACAGGCCATTCAGCTGGTACAGTGTGTTGCTGCTCAAGTTCAAGGACAACAGCTTTGGGGCAAGAAGAGGTAGAGTGAAGGTTACTATCTAGGACCTTGGAGACAAATCTGCCCTCCTCCCCATCTCTTCCACCCCCTACCCTAATACCAGCACTGGGGCTACAGCCTCACCTCAGGGAAATTCTTTTCGATGACCTGCAGGGTGTCAGCCATGCAGCTTCTTCGATTCAGAATTATATCAATATCATAGCCCACCAAGTCTTCAGGAAGGAGAGGGGAGGGAATCAGATGGCTGAGCGGGGTGTGCGGCCAGCACCAGGCCCTCCCCACGTTACCATCCCTAACGCTCCCCGCAGGAAGACCCCTCTGCCCTTGCATGCCCTAGAATTTCTGCTGTCAGCCGTACCTGGGTCAAGGCAGAGCCTCTGGAGGTCAAGAGCTTTCTGGGAGACATCAAATCGTTTGCTCAGGGTCAGCTGCGGAGAGAGAGATGGAGAGAGCCACTCTGAGGCTGTGGTGGTGGCAGGGAAATCGGGGGTGAGGGGGACGGGGGACTGGAGGAAGGAGAGGTGGGTCTGAGCGCTGGCTCACAACACGCCTTGAGTCTGCATTACCTTTAGCTGCTCCATTTCTTCTGGCTTCAACTTATACTGCACAGAGTAGGGAACAGCAGAGGGGCTGACAAAGACAGGTATCTGCAGGAAGAAGAGGTGGGGTAAGCACCAGGAACTCTAGTTCCAAAGAAGAGAACCAGCCCCTGGCCTCTACTCCTTCCTCAGGATGAGTTACACGTAACGCCCTCGACACACACCTTTCGGCTCTCCTTGTCACGAATCTTGTAGCTAACATCCAACAATGCACAGGCAGTGCTAGCTTCCTGGACAAAGAATTGAGCCACATTTTTCACAAGGTGGAACTACAGGGATTGAATGCAACAGCAATAGTTTCAGAAGCCAGCACTCACTGCTGAACAAGGTCTCTCTCTCCCCCTTCCCTGTGCCCACGCGTCTGGCTTCGGCATCCTCTCTTACGTCCACTGGAGTGAAGGGGACACTGCAATGTCTCTGGATTGAGTTCATTAGCCATGTCCTGTCATACTTTATCCCATAAGGAATCTAAGGATGAAAAGAAGCGATGGGAGAGAGGACAGACAACAGGGAATTTAGGCTGGAGGACGAACCTTTTCCTGTTCTTTTCCAGCCTTCTACTGAGCTTGAAAGGGCTTCTAAAGAGGGGACCACTGGCATGATTTCTTATGGGTGTGCGTAATATGGATTTCCAAGTAATCTTTCTCTCCGGTCAAACTCTCTTCCACATAATCAAGGTGTCAGTGATGATCTTCCTTTTATAAATTTCCAGGAGATCCTACCCAGTGCAGACACTGCTTGCCCCTCAGATAAGGTCTCCAGAGGCTCGACCCTCCATCTCCCACACTCACTTGCCAAGCTGAGACCCCCAGTGTGGAGTTGCTCCATATCCTTGGCAGCAGTTTCCATCTTTGCTTTGAGACAGGCTCCTCCGTTCTCCTCACGGTCAGCCTGTTCCCTTTACATTGCTTCTCTGAATCTGCCCTTAGATGAACAAGACTGTTAACTCCTGCTAATAAAAGGGGCAGATTGCAAACTGACCCTAGTGAAATAAAACATCATCTCTTCATGAGACCAACACAACTCCCCTGGGGGGCTTTTCTCTTCTGCACATTCCATACGTTTTTCAGGATACTCACTGTGACCCTGAACCAGCTCCCTGGGGTTCCACCTTGTGTGTTCTCCCCCATTTCTCTCTCCAGAGGTTTTCTCTTTCTCCACACAGTCATAACCATGTGGACTTCACTGCCCCATCTCATTATCCTCTTGTTGCCTTGGATGGTACAGGGAGAGCTGCAGGGGGAATGTGGAGAGAAGGTGGGTGAGCGGCCATAAGTGCTAAGAAAGTCTTCTGTACACCCTCGTGTCTTTGACACCAGCACTACAATTAGGATTGCTCAACCATTATTTCACATCAAGCATGCCTCAGATTTGCAGTGAGAGAAGAAAAACAAGTCCACGGAGTGTGAGAGAGGTGCACAGTCCCAGGGGCTGCTGTGCACAAACCCTGCTGCCTGGTCACTTACTGTCTTACTTCAGGGTCCTCCTGGACATCCCTCTTCACGACGTTTCCATCATCCTCCTTGAGGTGTGAGGGCTGAGGCTCACATCTATCGTGTTCATAATGAGGGCTCCTCTCGCCAGAATTACCTGGGAAAGAACTCCAACCTTTCTTTCTTCCTCGAGGTGGTCTACCACCATCACTGTATTCTGAAAAGAGGGACAAAAATACAAGTTTGCAGACACATCTGTGGTCCACTTACCACTTTCCATATCTTAGGCTAACAGCATGGTAGGGCAGGCAAAGTGCCAACCTGGCCTAAGGGACCAGTCCCACAAGCCTTAGAAAGGGCACTCTTCTGCCTGTCCAGAGAGGACAGCCTTATCCGACAGATGGCACTATCAGGGGAAGAATCGAGGAGCAGCAGGATGAGGAAGAGGACGACAAGGAGGACAAAGAGGGAGGAGGGAGGAGAGGACAACTGCGTTGAAACTTTTAAAACAGTGGAGCAGGACTGATAAAGAGCCGAGGTGTATGCGTCCATGGGTTAGACTGGACACCAGTCATATAGATACCAGGAAGGCACCCGAATCTTGCCTTCTCTCAGGACTTTCCAGCAACCACATCAATACCTCTCTCGTGCTTCCCATAATCCAATGAGCCACCAAACTGATTCTACTAACAACCAGCAAGCTAGCTGGACTTCCTTTGCCAGTGCACTTGGAGCTTTAATGTCAGGTGGCACTGATGTTAACGGCCTCCTGAACTGTCTCCCTCCCTCCAGCCTTGCCCTGAACAATACGCTGTTTGAAGGAGCCAGAGTGAGCTCTCTTTTGGGCCAGCCTGAAATGCCTTTCAGCTCAGCAGGCAACTCTTCCTAATTTCAGCCCTTCTATAACAAGGGTGTGAATGATAACATGGAATGATGTATCCACCACCATTTGCAAGTGTTTAGGGATTCTTCATTTTGCTTTCTATTACTGGTTTCTAATTTGATTCCGTCATGGCCAGGGAACACACTCTGGGAGATTTCAATTCTTTTTTTCTTCTTTTTTAATAAATTTATTTCTTTCTTTATGGCTGCATTGGGTCTTTGTTGCTTCACACGGGCTTTCTCTACTTGCGGCTAGCGGGGGCTACTCTTCATTGCGGTGCACGGGCTTTTTGTTGTGGTGGCTAATCTTATTGCGGAGCATGGGCTCTAGGCGTGCGGGCTTCAGTAGTTGTGGCACGCGGGCTCTAGGGTGCAGGATCAACAGTTGAGGTGCACGGGCTTAGCTGCTCTGCGGCATGTGGGATCTTCCTGACCAGGGCTCAAACCTGTGTTCCCTGCACTGGCAGGCTGATTCTTAACCACTGCGCCACCAGGGAAGTCCCTCAATTCTTTTTGAATTTATTGAGGTTTGTCTGATAGTCGAGGAGATGGTCTAACTTGGTGAATGTTACAGAGACCCTCGGGGAAAAAAAAACTGTACTCTGCTGTTGTTGGGCAGACTGTTCTATTTATGTCATGCAGATCTCATTAGTTTACTGTGTTATTCAGGTCTCCTATATCCTTGCTGATTTTCTCTCTAGTAATTCTGTCACTTGCTAAGGGGGAGATGGGTGTGGAAAGCCCCCACTATAATTATAGATCTGGCACTTTCTCCTTTCATCTCCATCAGTTTTTGCTTCATGTACTTTGAGGCTCCATTGTTTGGTGTGTACACATTTAGGATCTTTATGTCTCCCTGGTGTACTGAACCTTTCATCATTCTGTAAGGCCTCTCTTTGGCTCTTGTTCATTTTCTTTACTCTGACATCTACTGTACTGGATACTGAAGCTACAGGCACACTTAGAAAGTGTCCTGGGTATACCTCACCTTGTATTCACTCCTAGGAGTTGTGTTGCTGTTCACCCCTCCACCCACAAATTCCACCCTCCAACATATCTAATTCACCATGTCAAAAGATTTGGAAGTTTTTCAGCATCTGCAGAAATACGATCGTGTCAATTCTCTCTCCCATAGGTGGATTCACTAAGGGTATTTTATTTTTAACGCATTCCACTGAAACAGTGAATCAGCAGATAATCATACTAGTGGCTTGTGGGGAGGGAGGACTATGGTAACTACACTGTTAGAAACCAGCTTCCTTTGGGTTGTAATACTTAAGGTTCTCTAGGTTTGTGTGCTGTGCCTTTTGTACATTAACTATTCCATGTTGTCTCCGGGCACGCTTATGAGTAAAGATCCGTCCACTGCTGATCACTCAACGATGGCATGATTACGACCAGGCCTCAGATGAACTCCTCTGGGGAGCCCTTGCTTTCCCTGTGTGGCCCGCTGTCAGGGCAGTCCTGCTACTCACAACCTTGGGACTTTCTCTGTGTGGCACTGGAAGTGAAAGGAAACACAGATAGGGCATTTGACCCACAAATGCCACTTGCTCAGTCCCCAAACCTCAGAGGGAGCCTGGCGTGCACTCTTTCTCCCACACTCCACATCCAACTGGTCAGGAAATTCTCTCGGCCCCTCTCTCAAAGTATGTCCAGAAGCCAGCCACGTCTCACCATCTTCATTACCACCACCCTGGCCAAGATACCAACAGCTACCTCCTGGACTGTACTGCTGTCCAGCTGGCCCCTCTGCTTTCATCCTGGCTCCCTTACCTGTCTCTTTTCAACCCAGCAGCAGAGCGCAAGTCAAATCATTTCACTCCTCCGCTCAACACCACATAACAGTGGTTTGAAGCCCACCAACATGTTCAAAAGCCAGGAGTTCATAACGACACTCATCAACAATAACAACAACAAAGAGGAACCTTATTGGTGACCTTCCGAGAATGCCGGGCAACCAACTCGTTTTCAGGAAAATCCAGCAATGAAAGGGAAAAATTCACATTTTAAAGGGAGCAGTAAGGGCATGTGGTCTATGTACGGTGTATAGGAAGAGTCAGAGTCATTTGCAAGAACCCACATTCCTTCCAAATTAACGTTGCCGAGGGGAAAGCGTAAAAGGGAGCTATATAACAGCTACCGCAGTCCCCAGGCTGACCAACTACGTCGGGTGCCTGAACAGGGCTAGAGACCTCCCTAATCAAGGTGATTCAGACACAAGCAATCTCAGACATCGACTTGTCAAGTATTTGATAGAATAAACCAGTGAAGCTCTGTCACTTACTGTGTATGTGATTTTAGGCGACTATTTTACCTGTCTGAGCCTCAATTCCATCATGCGGTAGTGCTGTTTGCAATGTCTTTCCATTTGTCCCTGTTCCGGCAACCTGGAAGAGCTGTACTTCTTAACCTCCTTCGTTTGGGCTGGGCTGTGTATGTGACTGGTTCTGGCTAATGGGTTGTGAGTGACATGTGCTATTTCTGGGCCAGAACATATGGTTGTTGGATTGAGACCTTGCAGGGTCCTCTTCTCCTCAGGCACAGGGACGGACAACTTTCTAGATGATGGCTGCTCTGTCAGTTTGGGTGTCCAAGTCATTCCAGTAAGAATGGCTCAGACCCTCAAAGTCCACCATCCTGTGAGGGGCATACACCTGCCATGGACATGTAGTCGAAGTGAGGAATAAGCCCCTGAGATACGGGGACTCTCTATTACCACAACATAATCTAGCCTATCTTGATTCTTGTGTCTTATCTGTAAATTAAAATAACATCCTCTCAGGATTTTGCTGAGGATTAAATGAGAAAACTGGTATGAGAAGGTTGCCACAGTGCTTGACATATAACAGGAACTCAAAAATGGCAGCTATAATGATTAAATAATAATAACAAACTGGTTTTGAAAAAGTGTGGAAAATTGGTATAAAATGAGAGCTATTTCATCCACTCATCCTTACGGGTAAGTTGTATAGTCTTTTCAAGAGTGGGGGATTTTATTTTATTTTTAAGACTTTCTAATGACTAGCACTTATGCACTTATTTCTTGCCGTCATGATATCAAAAACATCAACTGAAGTTATATGTAAAGAATGAAAAAGTGGAAAGATTAAGCAAAGAGAGAATGACTAATGACATAAGATAAAATGAGTTAGCAATAAGTAGTTTCTTAATGAGAAGAACAGATTTTAATTATTAGTAAGCATACATTCTCCTTAGTTAACAAAGGTACAAGGTATTAATGCGGCAGAAGAGATTTACTTTGAACAGGCTTTCCCAAAATGTTTTCTGAGGAACACTAGTACTTCCAGTGGTCTGTGGAAAAATGTTCCTTTCCCATATATAGCTTGAGGAAACTACCTGCTACAGACTGAATGTTTATGTACCAACCTAGTCTCCAAGGTGACAGTATTTGCAGGTAGTCTTTGGTAGGTGATTAGGTCATGAGGGAGGTGCCGTCATGAATGGCATTAGTGCCTTTACAAAAGAGGACCCAGAGACCTCCCTTGCCCTTTCTGCCATGTGAGGATACAGTGTGAAGACAGCCCTTTATGAAGCAGGAAGCAGGCTCTCACCAGACTCTGAACTTGCTGGTGCCTTCATTTTGGACTTCACAGACACCAGAACCGTGAAAAATAAATTTTTCTAATTTGTAAGCCACCCGGTCCATGGTGTTCTACTACAGCAGCCTGAACAAGCTAAGACACTACCCTATTCTTTGAGATTCAAGTGGCATATTATCTTAAAAATATGACAATATAGAAATCCTTTTTACCTTCATTTTTGCGTCCCATATTTCTTCAATGGATAAAAAC